CGTGGGAGGAAGACCCTGCCGCCCAGCTGGGGCTGCGGGGAGAAGCCGTTCGTGGTGACTGGTTTCTGTCACCGCCGCCGCGGAAAACTCGTGATGGGAAACAAAAGCCACGCGCGCTTCTGGATTTGGTGCCGTTTAACCATGGGCTTGCTTGGGGCTGCTTGCGTTTGAGATGGTGAAAACAGGGCGTGTTTCCTGTTTGCCCCCTGCTACCTGGAAAAGTTTTACCTGTCATCGGCATCTAAAGCAAAATGATGGAACGCCTCCCGATTTAAGCCATTTGTGTAATTTTAAAATGCTCGTCTCGGTTTCTGTAAATTATGTTTCAAGGCAGGTGTTCCTTTTTTTTTTTCCTGCTTGAAGCTGCATTCAATAACCATGGCATTCAAGAGTAGGTCCATTGTAACAAACTTGTCAGGGTACCTAATACAGCTAACTCGGGTTAAAGAAATGATGACAGCTTTAGACTTGTAGGCTCTCATAAGCCATCTGTATGTGTTTGTTTATTTTAAGCCCTTGCTATTTCAAATTTTATTTTCTTTTGTATAATTGCTTATTTCTGCAACTTCAGAATCTCGGGCAATAGCTTGTGGTTTGAAACGTTATGTGGCATCCATAATTTTTCATTGTGTCATTCATTGGCTGTCCCTTTGTTAGTAGACATTTTATTTTATTGTCCTAGGTAATTTTATAGTTCTTTCTTACAGTTCTCTGTAAGTTCTCTCTCTCGGTGTTTGTTTTGGTTTTTTTAAAGCAATGCCGATCATCTTATGTGCATCCTTGTACATACACGTGAACTCTTGAAAGGGTGATGTTTGTTTTGCAGATTCTGATTCTGGATCTGAGTCTGATTCCGATCAAGAGAATGCTGGCTCTGGTAGTAATGCTTCTGGAAGCGACAGTGACCAGGATGATGACAGGGAGGCAATAAAACCTAGTAATAAGGAGTTATTTGGAGATGATAGTGAGGATGAAGGGGCATCCCATCACACAGGGAGTGACAACCACTCTGAAAGATCCTACAATCGCTCTGAAGCTTCAGGACATTCCGAGCATGAAGATAATGAGCAGTCAGACGTGGACCAACACAGTGTTTCAGAAGCTGCTCATGATGATGAGGAGGATGATCATGGGCATGGGTCAGATGAAGGCAGTCATCATTCAGGAGACGGTTCTGAAAAAGCACATTCAGAGGATGAGAAGTGGGGCAAGGAGGACAAAAGCGATCAGTCAGATGATGATGAGAGACAGCAGAACTCTGACGATGAGGAGAAAGTGCAGAACTCTGATGAAGATGAAAGGCCACAGATGTCTGATGATGAGGAAAGACTCCAGAACTCGGACGAGGAGAAAATGCAGAACTCTGATGATGAGGAGAGGCCGCAGGCCTCGGATGAGGAGAAGATGCAGAACTCTGACGATGATGAAAGGGCTCAGCACTCTGATGAGGAGAAGATGCAGAACTCTGATGATGATGAAAGGGCCCAGCACTCTGATGAGGAGGACCAAGAGCATAAATCTGGTAGGACTGAATACAGTGGTAATGATTTACTTCTGGTTTGCTCTCTCTTTATTGCTTCATTTTTATTGGCCTGAAAAGATTCAGACTTCAGTGTAAAGGCATTAATCACGTAGCTTTCAACTATAGTCATCTTTGTTATGTATTTTTATGCAGCACCTTTAAATTCCTTTTCATCTGAATCAACTTATTAATACAAAGGAATTTTAAAATATGTGGAACAAAATTTTTAATTTGCTGAGAATAATTATGCTCCTTAGTAGAGTCTGCAAGGGGCAGTGATAGTGAAGATGAAGTTCTGCGAATGAAGCGAAAGAAACCAATTGCGTCAGATTCAGAAGTGGACAGTGATACAGAAGGACAGAAAGGTAAATGGTGGCATTGTGTTGTGGGTTTTTGGCTCACTCAGTCCTCATCTTAAGCATGCCATTCGTCTGCTGCAGAACTTGATAAAATTGATAGCACTTGCTGTACAGTGTAACTGTAGTGCCATGGAAATAAGAAAAGAACACAGCAAGAATTTGGTGTGGGGAGGTACATGCTGTATTTCTGCTGTTTATCTCTAGTTAGCTGTATCGGTTTTTCAGTTTCCTCTGTGACAGACAGAGCTTTTCTTTTGCGAATGTTGGTTCACGTATTTTTACTGAAAGATACTAAGAAATGGTGCCTCTGACCAGAGCAGCCCAGAGAAGCTATGCTGGTTTTTGTGATGTTTAACTGGCTGAGGAAGAGGTGTTGATTCTTCTGAGAAGTAAAACATCCAAAATGCATAATGAAGTTGTTTACTTGAGTAAAGGATGTTCTTATAGTCTGGATTCTTCTGTTGCCATTTTTCAACTAGATTCTCTTTATTTGATAGAGCCTTTCCAGGAAAACATAATTGACTCCTTAGTTTAAAAATACAAGGGAAAACATTTTTTTGGGATAAGAGAATAGTATGTGCTTCATAAACATTCTTGATTTGTAACATTTGCAGGTGATTTTAAGTGGTAATAAAAGTGAAGGATGTGTTAGTCTTTTTTTTCTGTGAGTGTATTTGCATGTAGGGGGGTGTATGCGCATATATATATACGTATTTTAAAACAGCAATTTTTCTGCTCAAGAGCATGCAGATGTCATGGATCTGTTTGGAGGTGCAGATGACATTTCCTCAGGGAGTGATGGAGAAGACAAGCCACCAACACCAGGACAGCCCATTGTGAGTAGACTTGGCTTTTGAAATAATTAACATGCCATTCCACTCTGAAATGTGGAACACAGATTGGGGTTGATAATATTTTAGTGAAAAAAAAGACTAATAGCATTAAGTAAGCATTACAGATAATTTTGCCCTAGCTAAAAGAATTATTAAAGTTTTATACATAGCAATATCAGATGGATTAATTTATCTGCCTTACTCCATCCCTGCTCCAGAAAGAAATACACTGAGCAGTTTTGATTGTCATCAGTAAAATACAAAGCTATAGCTGTCTTTGGTACCTTAGTATAGCTATTTGACAAATATTTCATATTGGTTCGTGATGATAAAACATAAAAATCTTTTTTATCTGGGAGAAGTTGTCCCCCATTTACTCTCTAGTGCTTAGGTGAAAAGTGTATGTCACATGCTTTGCTATTTCCTTACTGTCTTTGGTCTCTTTGAGTTTGCACTGGTATTTGAAGTCACTTTAAGTGGCATACGAAAATGCTGAATTGGATTGCTTTCACAGAAAGTGTCAAGCTCTTTTACCCAAAGCTTTGTGATATCTCTCTCTCTGCATATGGATGACTTTTCTTTAAGCAAAATATAAGTGCTTTTTAGAGCAACAGTAGCCAGATAGACCTTTTTCACTTATACTCCTATTTGCCTTTTTTCATTAGGATGAGAATGGACTGAGTCAAGAGCAACAGGAAGAAGAGCCTATTCCAGAGACTAGAATAGAGGTAGAAATACCAAAAGTAAACACAGACTTGGGTAATGATTTGTATTTTGTGAAGCTGCCCAACTTCCTTAGTGTGGAGCCCAGGTAATTGCACATTAAATACATGACTGATAAGGTTTTTTAGTGTTTACCTATAATGCTTTTGGTTTAGTAATACAACTAAGTATGTTGGCCGTATTTAAAATGGTTGACATTGTTGCATGCGTTTGGTTGTGATCAGTCAATAGTAACATCTATTGTTGTTACCTAATCAAGTGTTGAGTAATTTTCTTACGAGCTTGGGTTTAGGAGCTTATGAGCTTTGTGCTTTTTGTCTTTAAAAAGCAACCAAAATATGATTTAATTGAAAGCACATGCTATCAGTTGAATTTTGAACATAGGTTCAGGCTCTGAGATGTGAAAGTGAAATGTACAGGATCTTTATGCACTTTGGAGTGATAAAAACACCATTTTGAATTTTAGAATAAGCCCTTTTTTATTTGTGGATGCTAATGTACCATTTAACTGTGAGGAGGCTGATTACTCACTTTCCTATTTACTTAACCCAAGCTAAAGAAATTTTCTGGTATTCATAAGAAGCAGCAAAATAAATTATTAGAGTTGTTTGTGATGTTAGGTTTGGCCCTAAAGCTCACCTTCAGCACTTCTAGTAAAGTGCTGTTAAATCTGTCTCTTCAAGTGTTTTGTTAAGCAACTTTATTGCGTTGCTTAGTAGGTATCTTGTTAGCTGGCAGTGTAGCATTGTTTCTGTTATACATTAGTTAAGTCATTCTTCCTGGCTTTCATGCTGTAGACTGTTTCAGCAGAGAACTGTTAAGAGCCTGGTTAGTGGCTGTAATCAGTGAGGCAAGTCCTGAGGATCTTTGGGGGTCAGACAGAACTGTACAGCAGCAGAGTCCATTCATCAATTCTTTCCCTTGCAGCAGCCGGAAAACTATTGGGAAGGAGTCTAGGGAATGGTCTTCCCCCACTCACTCCCACCCCTGTTGTCAGTTTTTTCAAAGGAAAAGAGGAAAAACAATGTCATCTTCCTTTCCCTTTAGTTGGTTTTGAGATTCAAATAAAAAAATGGCAAAGATTGTGCTCTTAGAAAAATCCCTAATTCACATTTATAAGATGATAATTTTTCTTTTTATTTCTTCTGTATAATACTGTATATATTTTGTTCCAGACTTAAGTAATCATCCTGATACTAAGGAAGCAGTATTTTCTGAGGCAAACTTGCTTTCTTCAGCTAGAGCCATTTCGAGGGTCTGAATGTTAAAATGGCTGTAATTGATGGTAGTGAAGACACTTGGGCAGGTCACCCGTGGTATAGAATCAATGCAGTAAATGACATTACTGCAGAAATGGCTGCCTCACAGCTGCAGTGCCTACTGTTGTGTGCAGTGTGTAATTTAAACCTTTCAAGCACCTCTTATTTTGCACAACTCTAGAATAATCTGGATTAATTTTTAGAAGAATAAAGGCTGTGTTATATGATTTATTACAGACCTTTTGATCCCCAGTATTATGAAGATGAATTTGAAGATGAGGAGATGCTTGATGAAGAGGGTAGAACTAGGTTAAAACTCAAGGTATAATGTTAATTTTCCTCCTCTCTTTTACACTCACCTAACCACATCTCTTCAAAGTCTGTTTCAGGCAGTTCAGAATGGTGTTTTGAGTTATGGTTCAGAATATGAAAGCATGGAGCAGTTCAGCACTGAGAAAAGTTGATCCATTTTAGTAATAAATGAAAAAAAAGCGCCTAGAAAAGCAATACCTCTCAGCTTCATTTCTGTGCATCGTGCAGCAAATTATCTAGCCTTTCTAACTGTAATTCTTGGCCTATATAGAGTATATTTTACCACAGTATTCCTTACTATGAGCTAGAAAAAGTGTTTTGTTCTTTTTATCTCACAGGTAGAAAACACAATACGATGGAGGATGCGACGAGATGAGGAAGGGAATGAGATCAGAGAAAGTAATGCACGGATCGTCAAATGGTCGGATGGAAGGTTAGTTTGGACTTTTTGTTATTGAAGGAGTACAGTTGTTCTTACAGTGAAATGCCATGGCGTGCAAAATCGGACGGTCAACAAACTTTGATGTCAGTTCTGCACAGCAGAAATTATTTTAGTCTCAGTGCTTTGAAAATTTTATGCTCTGCTTAGTTTGGATTGAAATATAATTATTGGCTATATATAAAAAGGAAACGTGAAGGCTTTCTCCATTTATGAATGAGGCAAAAAATAGACTCTAGTGGCTTTATCAAGTAACTGATGTACGAATCTCTTTTAAGCATGTCTCTCCACTTGGGCAATGAGGTCTTTGACGTGTACAAGGCACCACTACAGGGGGATCACAACCATTTGTTTATCAGACAAGGGACAGGTCTACAAGGACAGGCTGTTTTCAAGACAAAGTTAACCTTCAGGTAAGCACACTATTCTATATCAAATGTTGATACTACTATTGCAATTAAGTGTTGTAGCTAGTATATAAAAATTAGAGATACTAGTTTGTAAACCTTCAGAGCTTAACTGTTTAATAAGAATGTGATATTTTCCAAAGTCAGTACTTTGATAAGATTTTTTTGTAAATTAGGTGTCCCAGTTTGAAAGGTTCTGTTCACTGCAATGTGTAGGCTACATGTATTTTTTAATGTATATTTTAATGTGCATTTTTAATTGAAAGTCCTCATCTGAATCAGAAAGAATGTTAATATTCCCTGAAATTAACCTTCCTTCCGATGCACAGTTGCTATCAAGATGATGATTATGTCTTGGGATATTGATGTGAAATGTGAGGATGATTATTTAGGCTGGTAATGGGCTGCAGATGGTTTGCTGAGAAAGGAATTGAAGTCTCCAGTAGCTGTTACAATGCACATAAATAAATAAAAAGGGTGATGCAGATGAATCTTTGAAATCTGAAGTATGCTGGCCTTGCTGTTGTCCTTTAAAAACTGGTACATTCCTTTAAGAAGTATTTGACCCATAGCAATTCTTTAACAGGCCACACTCTACAGACAGTGCTACTCACAGGAAGATGACTCTGTCTCTGGCAGATAGATGTTCAAAGACACAGAAAATTCGTATTTTGCCCATGGCAGGTCGTGATCCAGAGTCTCAGCGCACAGAAATGATTAAGGTATTGTGGCATGAAACTCTCTTATCTGCTGATTTGATGTAAAAAATCACAACTGTAATACAGCTGAACATTTCTGAACACTTTATGAAAAACAAAGTGTACCTTGGAGTTACAGATGAGAGTTGTTAGCCATGGGTGCAGTTTGCTTAACCTTACAGACCACAAAAAAGTCAGAGAATGTACAATCTTTACACTGCTGTGAAATTATTTCAAAAGCTACAGTAGAATACAAGGTGCTCTTCAGTATTTTTTTTTTCTTCGATTTTATATATTGCTTCTTCCTTTGGACAGAAAGAAGAGGAGAGGTTAAGAGCTTCTATTCGTAGAGAATCTCAGCAGCGAAGAATGCGGGAGAAGCAGCATCAGCGTGGTCTGAGTGCAAATTATTTAGAACCTGATCGCTATGATGAAGAGGATGAGGGAGATGATGCAATCAGTTTAGCAGCTATCAAAAACAGATACAAAGGTGGCATCAGAGGTAATAATAAACCTTACCAGGACATAAGTGGGGCCTGTGTGGTTCAGATGGATTAATTTCACAGGAAAGCCCTGGTAAGACTGTATTTTGCCAGTTCATTTGATACATGAAGACATGTGAATTCAGTTTGTATAAGTCTAATTTGTTTACTCTGGGGTTAGATTTTGCAAGCTTTTTGTGGGACTAGACGTAAGAGAATTATTTTTAATACTCTCTTTTCCTCACTGATCTCAGGTAAAGATAAATGCTTGTCTTTTCATTTTTCTCTGTAGAGGAACGTGCTAGAATCTACTCTTCTGACAGCGATGAGGGCTCAGATGAAGATAAAACACAAAGACTACTCAAGGCAAAGAAACTTACTAGTGATGAGGTAAGAAAAGGACTTTGTTCTTAAGCTACTTGTTTTCAGTCAGGAACATTTCTTGCACAAACCCAAGTTTTTAAAGCTGAAACTTTTGTTGTTTCATTTATGCTGTAACGAATATATTATTTGACGTAGCATGCTTTCCATGATAATTAATCACCAATTTCTTACACACTGCATTAGTTCATAGACCTGAGTGATTCCCAAAGGAGGTCATGATTGTTACTGCTGATTTAAAGATGGAAAAATTTATGCAGAGTTATGTAAAATGACTTTACCGAAATTATGCAAGGAGTGAGAATGCTTAATGTTGGAATCCTAGTGTGGCATTGTCTCCTAAGCCACATGGTCCTCTCCTGTTATGGAAATGGCAGAAACATTTTCACATAGTATTTCTGCTCTTTTTAAATAGAAGGGTTAAAAAAATGAGTTAAAAAGAGTCAATGTCTATTGCTAAACAGACATTCTCCATCAACCAAGTATCATCCTGAACAGTAGGCCATGATCAGGTTAACTGTTAGCTACAGCAGTAGTGCTGTTTCCTCTTCTAAAATTACACTGCTGGGTGTAAGCAAATGAATCTTTGTGTATATCACACCTTCAGGTTTCGTTCATTTCAAGTAATGTCACTGCTTCTGATACAGCACTACAGTGTAGCACTTCTCAAAAATGACAGATACCGTTTCTGAGATTAAAACTTAACTATTTTCATCCAGTAGTAGAAGTGGGACCAGGAAGTATATGGACTCTGTCCTTTATCAGCTATACCTCAGTAGTCTATTTTCCTGACCCTTGCTCCTCATTGTAAAATGCTGCTGTGGCAAAGAGCCATAGAACACTTACTGCGTACCTTGGGAAGCTGAAAGAAGAGGGAATTTTGGAATTTATGACAAAGGGCAATTGGCACTGGCTCCCTAGCTTCCCACTGCCCTGTGCAAGAGGGAATTGTGTTGGGTCAGGTGTTTGACCTCCTTGGTTTTAGTAACCCATTAATTTGCTCTCTTTTGGGCACCATCAGTTCTGTATTTTTGTACTCTTGCTGTTGATCAATATAGTGCAGCCCTGAGCTGCAGCTGTGCTTGCATTTCTCTCAAGCCAAGCGTGGCTTAGGAGTGGTGGTTTGGACACACTATCAGCTCTGCTGATAGTCACCTTCATTTATGTGGCAGAATAATAAATTCAAACTAACTTAGCTTAATAGGTTCTTATTACTGCCTTGTAGGTTATGAGAGATGTTTTTACACTGGCATGCTAGTTTGATTAATCTTCCTGTCCTGTTTTACTGTAAATAATATTTTATTTAAATGTTTATGTATAGAATATCATGCAGAACTTTAAAAAAAGGAAGTCTGAGTAGGTCATTGTAACCTTATGGAATATTTTTAAATGCTTTATATCACCATTTCCTTTAAGAAATTATTTTAAATGTTTAAATTATTTTAACTATTGCCCTAAGATTTCTTCTGGTTGATCTCTTACAGTCATATCTAGCGTGCTACTCTAATAGCTGCTAAAGTAGCTAGAACCTTATTTTTGAATTTTAGAGGCTTCCATAATAAAACATCCTTTTCTTCTTAAAAGAGTAATTTTGCAGCGTAGCTTGCTATGCGTCCTCCTAGTGAATGAATGAATGCATGTCAGACTTCTGTAACCACAGCTGCTGAAATTCCAAAGTTGCGTTCGAATGACCATGTTATGACATAGTTTTCAGTATGACACGTACCTCTATAGTGTAAGAAATCTTAACTTTTGAAGGAGTAAGTTTGCTCTCATTTGCTTGTCTATACTGTACTTCCTGTAAACTCTTGGGAGGCATGTCTTATTTCCCAGCCTGTTGGATGTTTGCTACAGTCTGAATGCATGTTCTTGCTGCTGTGACACTACTTCTCTTATACTGTCAGCTGAGTATTTGCACTAATAGGCATTGTAATATGAAGTAGAACTAAAAATTAGTTTTTCTTTTAAAGACTTAGATTCTGGCTTTTTACTATGCACTGAAGAAAATTTAGTATTTCAGAAAGTATAGCAGTAATCCTGGAGACAGCCATAGTGAGGCATGTAGGCAAAACTGTATTTTTGTGGGCTCTGTTAGTGTTTGTTGGTAGAAATTGAACTGTTTCTTTTTAAGATTGTATTTTGTATTATTTGTACTAGTTGGTAGTTTATGATACAGCAGTGCCAGGACTTTGAAATTCCAGTCTCAGAAGAAAAGGTCTAGGCAACAGCATTTCTCTGCTGCTTGAGGAATGATAGCCTCCATTTTAAAATTACATGACTTAAAGGTAATATTCCCAGCAGGGCCACGGAGGGGTGCTACAGTATTAAAAGAAAAAAAAAAAACCAAACCCGTGATGCATAACTACTTATTTTCAGTCACCACGTAGGAAGTATGGTATTTGTAATATGTATCTGCATACGTGAAACACGGACGTCCTCATACGCAGACTTGCTTTTATGGGCTGTCAGTCAACAGCACAGCACAAATCTTTGTCCTGATAACAATTTGTTACCATTACTGAAAATGTCAACCTATTACTAATACACTTTATCGCCACACAGCAAGTAGTTTTTACTGTTGCTGTAGTTAATGCAGATATTCTGCTAAACAGGAAGATGAATCATTTAACAGTAGCCTAGCTAGTTACAAGAGAATGCTTGTTCTGAACAAGAAGCTATCATTGAGATTCCCACCCCTACTAATTTCTGTTTTCCATGCTTAAAATTCCTTCCTAACAGAGATTCTCACTGTAATGACTTAATATGTTAATATAGAATAAAATGCTTTGAATAAAAAGTTATCCATTAGAGTTCTGAAACACTAATAATTCATTAAAGTTTTGAAATTCAATCTTTGCTCCTTCTTAAAATCGAGTAATATGTGTTGCTTTAAAAAAAAGCAAACCAAAAAATTCCAAAAAATAAAACCAACAAATGGAAAAAGGGATGAGGTTCCTTAGACCTGAGGGTATTTTTAAAGATACTCTTCTTTTTAAACCAATAATTGAGTTACCACTTGTCCTTCATGTCAAAATTGATGAGTTCTGCATTAACAACTAGTGATTTGTAGTTCAATTAAACATTTTCATAGCATTCTGGTTTAAAATGTTGGGAAGGATGCTTTAAACTCACTGTTGTAAATGCACATGGCATAAAAATCAACCTGTTGACTATATTTAGGTGCTAAAAATTTGACATCCAGCCTATGGTATTGCTTGCAAACAGGTAATTAGCTCAATGATTGAGTTCCTTTGACCAGCTCTTTGAAGCCTCCTAAACTATAATATTTCTTGGACTGTAAAATGTGATGTTAATTCTCAGTACTAGTGGTTTCTCATCAGTCTTTTATGCCGGAGAGCGGTTTAATTTTTTATTTTTTTTTAAACTAACAAGCAACATTTCTGCCTACTTAATGAATTTCTTATTTGCTTCAGTAGCTCTAACTTAGGGCATACAAGTGTCAATAGTCTGAAAACTTAGCAAAGCTACACAGGTTGCCTGAAAGGAAAGCTTCTGCACGTTGAAAAATTCACTACAAATTCTAGGAATTACCCATGCTCATAAGCTTGCTGATAATGATATTGTACATGCCATAAATCCAGATTATGACGTAAATTACTTTCATAGAATCATAGAATGTTTTGTGTTGGAAGGGACCCCTAGAAGTCATCTAGTCCAACCCCCCTGCAGCGAGCAGGGACACCGCTAACTAGATCAGGTTGCTCAGAGCCCCGTCCAACCTGGTCTTGAATGTTTCCAGGGATGGGGCCTCCACTACCTCTCTGGGCAACCTGTTCCAGTGTTTCACCACCCTCATTGTAAAGAATTCCTTAATTATATCCAGTCCAAACCTACCCTGGTTTAGTTTAAAACCATTACCCCTTGTCCTGTCCTTGTTCATGCCATAGTTCAGTTTGAAGCAGATGTGGTTGTATGTCCACTGAGGCAAATGGAGCTGCAGCTGTATTATGGACCCTCTCAGGTTGGAGCTTGAGACTGGTGGCAATGTTGACTGAACTCAAAAGTACTGATAATAAGAAGTCCTGCATCACAGTAGCACAAAGTGGCAAAACTAGAATTCATAATTTTGCTTTTCTTACAAGGCATACTTTGAGGTCTTCTTGTTGTTCTTCTGAGGTTTTTTTTATTTTAGCTTGAAGTATGTTGGTTTGGGGTTTTTTTTTTTGTTTGTTTTTTAACTTTTGTCCTGTTTTGCCTTTAGGAAGGTGAACCTTCTGGAAAGAGAAAAGCAGAGGATGACGACAAAGCAAGTAAGAAGCATAAGAAATATGTGATCAGTGATGAAGAGGAGGAAGATGATGATTAATATTAAGGAAGCACAAAAGTTGATTTTTTTTTTTATATATATATTTATATATATATTGTACAGTTCTCTTACAGCAAATATGTAAGTAACCATAATGAGGTTATTTTGATAAAGGAAAGTTCCATTGAAATCTGTGTTTCTGGTGTGAATAAAGTTTTTTGACTTCCTTTTATTTTTTAAGATTTTCTCTTACTGCAGCAACTGTTGCACCAGGGATCATCACAGTGCCATTTTTTTTTTATCTTGCACAGCACATTTCAGTTTTGAGAATTGTAGTAACTGGCTATCCAAGTGAATTGATCAGTGATTTTTACTGTGTTCATAAGGAGAAACCATTCTAATATTTATAGAATGCTTAAATGATAAGTTTGCCTGACAAGGGTGTAGCGATGTAGCTTACCGTTTGTATGGAAGGGTTGGAAGAACATATGAGTGGTACAGTACAATTCTGTTTTTTTCCTAGATAGTCCTTATCTCCTGTTGACTGCGGGCAGTACATTACTATGCTGGTATATTTTGATGACTGAAAATATTTCTTATCATGTTTGAATAAACTGTGAAGTTCCTGCAGTTAGACTAGTTAACTGATCACATAAGACGCTTATTTTTCATGCACTGAAGCCCAGAATGAAAATCTGCATCTTGTCTGAGCATAAATAATAACAGCAATAATAATAATAATACTTGGCACATGCTAATGAAGTAAATGTCAGAGTAAAAGAACTTATTTAAACTAAGAAATTTCTGCCAGCAGAGATGAAAGTCTCCTTTGAAAGGTGAAATGAACCACATTGCAAAAATACATTGTAACAATGGTGTCTCATAAGCCCATATAATCCGTATGGTGCTATTTTCTATTGTTCCTGGTTGGTTTTATAAATAGGCTTGTTTAGCTGGGAAGTCACAGGAGGAGAATGTTCTGGACAGAATCATTGCTGCCTTTACACTGTTTCTAAACACCTTATTTGATGTTGCAATACCAGTTGTAAAGTGGGGAAAGGCTAGAAGAAATATCTGAACTTCTCCACGCTTTTTTTCCAGGATGAAACATCCCATAGGTAGTTTCTCTTGTCGGTGAGAGACCATTCAGGTGCTATCTGTGTTGCTTTTTAACTGACTTTTCATGCAGTTCTATGGAGTTCGGATGCAACTTGAGAAAAGTAACAGAAAGAAAACACAACTAGCTTAATGCCTCTAAACAAAACCATTGCCTGATGCTGTGAAAAGTTTTATTATGTGGATTTGTGTTGCATAAGATGCAATAAAGTAGCTGATAGTTACGTAAGGAGGACTGTTACCCATCTCTCTCCTGCCCAGCGGAATTCTGCTTTTTTATGAAACAGTAGAAGGGTGCAGGTGCCTCATAGTGAGCATTTTTCTCTCTTGACATTCCCTGATTCTTTGAGATACAGCTTTCAACCTGGACATTTTCCTTTTGTCATCTTTAATTAGGCTAGTAGTTTGTCAAAATACTCTATTTCTCCTGCCCAGAAGGTACGGGAAGCGTTCTAGCTGCAGCAGCACAGAGCTCTGCATGCGTTAATATATTCTGCTGAGCAGCTGACTGCAGTGTCAACATTTGCAAGTACGAAAACAAAGTGAAAAATTTCAACTCTGAAGTCTGTGTGCCTGAGAAACAGTTCTTTTTTTTCTATAATTAAACTGTTATCTAAGAGTTCCTGTGCCTCTTTAATGTGCAGATAAAACCTTTCTCCATCTGCTGGAATTTTGACCCTGTAATCCTCTTAGTTTAGACCTCTGCTAGGAGACTGGCTCTTTACATGAGGTTACCTGCTTTCCATTTCTAACCTCAGGAAGAAGCCAGCTGTATAGAAAGGGGCTCCTCCGGTATGGATGTAACATGCTGTACTTTCATGTAAAAGCCTGCCAGGTACCTCTTAAACAACAAATTTGGCGTATGGAAACACACCACCATTTCACTGGCAATGTGTTTGCTTTTATGTCAGTTTAATTAAAGTGTTGGCTATTTTTATTTTTACTACACTCCTAAGAGTGAAAATGCTGTAATCACTTTCATAGGTTTGATGCTGACTAAGCCTTTACTAAGTAAGAGGCCCATCTTGGCTTCCAAAAATGAGGCTTTTTGTGGATTACAAAGATGAAAAGAAGTAATTTTTTACACTATCTTCTTTTCAAGTCTTATTTAAATGTGGAATTTTAGAAAGTGTTTTCTCAGCTTAAATTGGTTTAACAATCATCTTGTAATTAAAGTCACTTGAATGAACTTAGCCTTATCCACAGTATTTTTTTACTTGTGAGTCGAATGTATAGTTTTATTTAACTCGAAGACAGTTTTTGCTATCCCTTTTCCCAGCCTCTAAGTATGTGAGGATTACTTGGAATTGTTTCTTTTTACCCAAATTAAAAATATTAAGCCAAAGAAAAGAGAATGTAGATTGGACTGTGTTTACCCTGTACTGACTGGTCAGAACGCTTCTTCCAGAAAGGGCATGATTTGAACAACTTCCAACAAAGAAATTTTTTCTTTCAGGAGTTGATACTAAGCTGTGCGAGTACGAGGTTTTTTGGCTAGTGCAGGATGTAGGATAAATTATCTTGAAACAGATGCTGAAAGCTCTTCTTGGCTATATAACTTTGTTTTTTCAAGTATATCCTTCAACTGTATCCTGGTTTCCAGTTGTTGATCTGGAGTTTTCTTTCTGGTACCTGGTAGTGTTTTCTACCAGCCATTTTGCTCCATCCTAGCCATGCAGCCTGGCCTGGATTTCATGTTGCAGCACACCCGATGGAGCGGGGGTTGCCCACTGAAAGCAGCCGCTGCACTTGCAGTCCGTTGCTCTTCCTAGCAGCAGGGTGGGCAATAACTAGCCTGACTCAGTGGGTCAACTTGCTAAACGGTCATGAAATTTCTTTTCTGTGGAGTTCTTTTGTTTTCTGCCAGGCATGCCTGCAGAACTGCCTCATTGGCGACATGAGCTCCAGAGCTGGCTCAGTAAGTAGGTGTGGTCATGATTTAGGGGGCATCGGGGAAGGGTGATCTTTTTGGCAGTGATAAACATTGACTTGGCTTTCTTTTAAAAACTTACCCTGACAATGCAGAAAGCAGTGAATAGTTTTCTCCTGCAGTAGCTGCCTGAACTGGCACATTGAAAAGTCAGCTGTGCCTTGAGGTGGTGCAAGGGGAAGCAGAGGGGGAGCAGGACAGATCCTGTGTATGGCCGCAAGTTTTAGCTCAGCTCTGATACGAAGCTGCGGCCTGAGGAATGTGTTAAACATGAGATGGTGACTTTCCTATGAAGTCATGGGTATTTATTTCTCAGCCAGTAGGCATGGATGTCCTCTGTGTGAGCCCATTCTAGTAGAGTGCTTTTGTTTAACAGCATTGGACTGCTAATCAAGTTCTCCGGGTGTTGTTGAATGTGTGGAAAGTGGTACATGGGAATAATGGAGAAGATTATTTGTTTCTGTCTTTTAATTTTTGCTAGAAGAGGTATAATGTCTTACACTTGTGAAACTTAGGCTATTCTAACGTTCAGGAACTTGCCTGTGGCTTGACGTGGAAGTGCTTCTTGGAGAGCAAGGTGACTAATACCTACTGTTGCCTGGTGATGCCCTTTGACTTGAGCTGGAGTTTTTTTAATATTTGCCTGGACGTGAAAGACTTGCAGAAAAGCGGCAAACTGGTTGTGCTGGTTTTGGCTGGGATAGAGTTAATTTTCTCCATAGTAGCTGGTATGGGGCTATGGTTTGGATTTGTGCTGAAAACAGTGTTGATAACACAGGGATGTTTTCGTTATTGCTGAGCAAGGGCTTTCACACAGTCAGGGCCCTTTCTGTTCCTCACCCCACCAGCGAGCAGGCTGGGGGGGGCACAACCCGACTGACCCAGGGATATTCCACACCATATGATGTCACGCTCAGCCTATAAAGCTGGGAGAAGGAAGGGGAGGACATTTGGAGTGACAGCATTTGTCTTCCCAAGTACCTGTTAGGTGTGATGGAGCCCTGCTTTCCTGGAGATGGCTGAACCCCTGCCTGCTAATGGGAAGCAGGGAATGAATTCCTTGGTTTGCTTTGTTTGTGTGCACAGCTTTTGCTTTATCTATTAAACTGCTTTTATCTCAACCCATGAGTTTTCTCACTTTTACCCTTCTGATTCTCTCCCCCATCCCACTAGGGGGAAGGGTGAGTGAGCGGCTGTGTGGGGCTCAGTTGCCGGCTGGGGTTAAACCATGACACTGATATTGACTACTGGCTTGTATCTTTAATTGCTTTAAAACTCCTGGGCATTCTGAGGAATTAGAGAAGCTAAGTAGTTGAGAGAGTAACATAAAATTAAGTAAATCTATGCCTAAATGATTCTCTGATGCAAAGCCTTTTTATTTAAAAAAAAAAAAAAAATCCTTTGACAAGACTTCTGGTTTCTTGAGGGTTTTGGTAGTTGTTTTTAAAGGGTATTTTTGTGCTTTAAAAACCTATGAATCTTAGTTTACTGGGCTGATATTTGCGAGAAATCAGTTGTTAAACTGGAACCTTAACTTGAGAAAGTGTTTTTTGTTTTGGTCTGGGTTTTTTTCCCATTCAGGCTTAGTCTTGAAGAAATGAGAGGTGGTAGATCCCATTCACCAACAAACATAACTTCATGTCTCTGGGTTATGTTGAAATTCTCTGGGAAGCAGTAGCATCCATGCAGACTAACAAGTCATGGAATCATATCCATGTTTTATTCTTTATCGTAAATTAAAGATAGATAAAATTTTATAAAACAGTGGAAGTATTAACTAACATACCCTCTTTTTTTATATCCTATGACTGAGTCAGATTATATGTCATTTTGTATTGTTTCATGCTTTTCCTGTTCTTTGCAAGATACCTGATTTCAGAATATAACTGTGGAAGTGAGGTGCTAATCTTAGCCTGGTAAATTGGCAGTTTTCTGAGCTTTATTTTTTTCATTGAGTATGAAGATGTATGATAAACATTCTGTACAGGGCAGGTTCTTACAATAAGACTCTCTTGATCTTACAATAAAGCCATTTTTGGAAAACTTACACAGATACTGAAGGAGCTCTCTGTTTCAATATGTAAAGGAAATAAACATTAGGGTTTTGGTAACAGCAGTACCAGCCCTTCCATTCAGGTGTTAGTACACTTGCATTTAGTGTTTATGTGCTAAGTCGGGGGGGTAATTTTGAGAATCCTGCTGGAGCTGTTGGTCTAGTCTTGGTTCTGATCATGTTTACTGCCTGCAGCTTTGAGGTTTGTTTACTGGTATAGAATAAGGTAACTGTATTTAAACTTTGTGAATTTGCTATCTCCCGGTCTTAGTTTTCAGCTTAAAATAAACTGCTACTTGGACTATGCTGTATTTGTGAAGGGAGGAGTATATCCCAGAGAAGATAAGGAAGGATCAAGCCAAAGTGTTGTGGCTAAAACATGGTTGGTTAGGGTTTGATTTTTTTCTTTTCTTTTCTTGTTTTTCCCTCTCAAAAGTAACTGGAAAAAGCTCAAATGCCAAAATCACAGTTGTGCAGTTTAAAATTGACCCTGGGCAGCTTGCGCCTTTCCAAATTAACACCTGATAACATTAGGGGGTTTCTCCTTTCTTGCAAGCAAGTTAATCTGTGTTGGTTTAAGACCAACTGTTAATGTAGACTCTGAAAGGTATCTTTCTTTAAGTAAAGATAGATCTTTCACATTTTTCTTAGAGATACCTCATTTTATATTAATATTAACACAACTTGAGTTATTGCCTCTTCCATACCCACCTTGCTACGCTATGTATGTCAGATCAGTAATTTGTCTTTTGGATTGAATTTTCTGTGTTGTTTCTCTCAGTACAGGTTTTTCTGCTGATTGGGAAAGGAGGATATTCGTCCTTTGGAAAAAAATACCTACTGTCATTTTGAGAAGCATTGGTGATCGTTTACAGCTTCATGTCTGATGATGAAACAAGAGGCTTAAATAACAAGGACAGAAATAGTGGAGTGTTAGCTTACTGACTAAAAACATTGGTCTGTTATTTTTCCCAGCAGTTCTGTGAATTGCCTTGGGATGTAGATGGTGTTCCTCTTTTCTTCTTGGAACTTACACCAGTGCTTTATTGAACATAGACAGTCTAATGTAAAAAGCTCGTGGTTTCATAGAACTGCAAATTTTGGGCCAAATGTGTTTGGATTCTTAAATCAGTCTTCTGAAAAAATGACCAGGACATGTTCTTATATTGGGACTGACTACATTTAGATCAGCCTGGTGGGAGAACATCAGATACAGCTCAAACTCTTGCAGTACCTACAGTAAAGACATTTAGTCCCATAGCAACCTCCTGTATTTTAAAAATACAGGAGGTAAGAAGGGTTAGATTGATGAAGGCTAAACTTTCAAATTGTAGCATCAGGGAATTATGTAGGTTTTGTAACAGTCCAGCTGTGTATAAATGGTCTAAAATACCCAGAATGTATATGGCAGCGGTCTATATTGCAACAACGAATGGAAATCGATTTAGATGGGAACAGCCTTCAAGTCAGCAAGTTGACTTGCCAGGCCTGTGGTTTTTAAGGTGGGTTGACACTTTCAGGAGTGTTTGGGCTTATGGTGAGGGATAGCCAAGCCAAGCTGAAGTATTGTAGAGATAAAATGGTCAGCTTCCAGCATAAACACACAGGATCCTTAACACAGTGAAGTATAGGCACTCAGTCTGGGATGGGAAAAGCTGTTTTAAGGAAAAAAGTCTGTCTATTCATCTAATGAGGCCGTATAAAGGCTGTTATAGTCCCTGGTGAGTTTTTATAGTAGTTTTGTAAAAGATTTAAGAAATGTGTTGTACAGTGACAGCACTAACTCAGCCTTGACCTGTCACCGTGTGACTAGGCATTGCTATAAAAACAAAAGATTTCTTTGTTTCAGGTAAGAGGGGGGGTCAGGTTCCCTGAGAAAATAAGTTTTCTTAAGTAGGATGTCGAAGCATGCTTGGCGAGGGAAAGATAGGCAGGTACCTTCAGTAGAAATTGCAGGAATTTGTTAGTAGCTGTTCTCTAAAGTTATCAAGCCAAATTGGTCTTCATTTCAGCACCCAGTGGAGAGTGACAGGACGTGCCTGGTCACTGTCAGTATTAATTTCAGGTCTGTACTGAACCTTTTCCAAGGGTTTACAGCATGAGCCGGCAAGCGGCAGTACAGCTGCCCCATGGGCGGGTTTTGAACAGAGTCCGTAAGAGCCCGGAGGGAGGAATGTGGCACTGTACAGGTAGCGAGTCCTGGCGCCCAGGCGGTTTCTGTGCGCGTGTTTAATGTTCGGTTTGGGAAAGAGAAGCCCTGCTGAGGACAGCACCCTTAAAACACTGCTGTCCAGCTGAGTCAAAGTGTTCTGGTATGGGGCTGTATCTTCAGCTGAACTCAAGCAGTTTCTTCTCTTGCAGTCATGCTTAGCTACGGGTAGTGGGATGTACGTAGAGAAGAGATTCTTACCTTGACAGCCAACTGACTTGATCTGGCTGCTGCTGCTCTATGGACGTATTGGATAGGATGTTGCTGTAAATAAAAAAAATTGATGGGTATTAAAATATCCATGTCTGAATTAAAATATGCTTAATTGCAACACAATGAAAAAATTAGGGGGTAGGGGAATGAATATTCAAGGATAGCAGGAGTTGTCCTGTATCAGCTGAATGAGATCCAGAGTTTCTGCAGCTCTCACTGCCCCTGTTCTTATCACAGAAGTAACATCTGTGCATCTGTTTAGGTTATTTATGGTGATTGTCTGGTTGATAATTAGGTTTGTGTCTGCTGCATCCATTTAGACAATGTTTTCCCAGGATCTCCACTGCTGGTGGTTTTCTGCTTTTGGACAGTGTGGGGTATAAAGCTTCAGAAGGGTCCCTTCCTGCCCTTTGGCTGATGCCTGTGGCTTGATGCCGCAGTCAGGTCAGCCCACCAAGTGGTATTTTCCTGTGATCTAAGTGGACCACGTTTTCTTTTGGAAGCAGTTCATTCACTGTTGCCTTGGGTGCAGGCTTTTCTGTCGTGAGCTGAAGGACACTGCTATTTTCTTAGTAGTGGCAGAGCACAAAGAATTAAGAGCAAAGTCTTGGAAGTTTTGTATCTAAGCTATTTGTTAAGGACCTTGTCAACAACGAGCCTTGGGAAGCTCTTCAGAACTGTTAATGGCTGTAATTGCAGGCGTGCTTAGGCATAATGCTGTGCGCAGGGTTGTAAGGCGCACCAGTGGACCACTTCAGATTCACCATGACTTAATTGTAGGTAATATCAGCATGGACTTTGCTTAAACATCTGCCATTTTGATAGTATCTTTAAATACTTTCTCCCTTCTGAAGAAAACCTTGTTTAGAAATGCGGATTACCAGAGAATATTGATGGGTTTTTCTTTGCTAAGGAAGAGATGCTGTGCTCTGCTGATGTGTTCCCTCTGTTGATGGGATGTATGGCTGTGGGAGAACCTTCCCCTATCAACAAGTGAGTCAAAATCTGTATCAAGGGGGGGATCGGTATTTTATGAATACCATTCCCAGTTTTTTTCATATATATTCATTTACATTAATATGTATTTTTCACGTAATTCTAATGTCTCTGGACATGGTCAAAAACTTTCTTTATATCTACAGATGAAAATGCTTTCTGAACATGATTGCAAAGTGACCAAACTTAAATTGAGAACATTTCACTAATCTGTGGATACGTTACCCTTTTACAAATC